GCAAAGCCAATTGGACTTTGAACTAATTTATTTTTAATCAAAAAGGTAGATTTAAAGAGAGAAGCAGAGACAGAAAGAATCTTCCACCTGCTGGTTCACTCCCCAAGTGACCACAACAGTCAGAGCTAAGCTAATCCAAAGCTGGGAAGAACCAGGAACTCCCTCCAGGTCTCTCACTTGGTTGCAGGGTTCCAAGTTGGGTCATCCTATACCGCCTTTCCAGGCCACAAGTAGGGGGCTAATGAGACGTGTAGCCGCTGGGTCACAAACCAGTACCCATATGAAATCCTGCTGCTTACAACGCAAGGATTTAGTCAATGAGCCATCACACCAGGCCCCAACTGGACTTTTTAAAAGCAATAAAAGGGACCCAATGCAGGAAGGGTGACCTGCCTGAACAAGAAGACATCACAGGCTGACACATGAACTTGGATCTAAGCCTATAGGTCCAAACCTATAAACATGAACTTGAAACAGGTCATACCTCTAAATGTAAAACTCCTAGGAGAAAATCCTCAAGACCTACAACTCCATAAAGAGGTCTTAGAAGTGATACTAACTCATAAAGACAAAGGAGGAATGTGTCGATTTCATCAAAATATAGAAGTATATCCAAATTTAAAAATTAAATTTTATTAAATGTTTAAAAGACCCTGCTACAAAGACAAATAGATAAGCTACACAATGGGAGGAAAGAATTTCAAATCAAAAGAATATGGCTGGTCACAGGGAAGTGCCAAGCTATCAATGGCGAGAGACTGAGGGCATTGAGACAGGCGAGGTAGAGTCCGGGAAACGAGACAGGTGCACAGAGCTCTAGAAGTCAGCATGGAGGTCCACGTGACTCTTCTGTCAAATATCGGTGTGTATAGGCAAGGGGGAAATCTCAGTGCGGCTGGACAAGAACTACCAAGGGAGCATTCCCCAAAGGCCAGGGAGAAGGAGCAGCCATTTGGTGTAACAGGTAGGGCTCTCCTTGGCACACACTCCTCCCATGCATGGCTGGGTTCCAATGGCAACTCTCTTCCTGATCCACTTCACCACTCATGGGTACCCAGAGAGGCAGCAGAGGATGACCCATATACTTAGGCCCCGCCATCTACGCAGAAGACTCTGAGTCCTGACCCAAGCCTGGCCTCACACCAGCCATTGCAGGCATCTGGGGAGTGACCCAGCAGGTGCAGGATCTCTGGCTTTCTCTGCCTTACACAGAATAGCAACACAGACATCAATGTCCAGGGGCCTCCAAATAGAATGATTCTCAGAATTTACACAGAGCTGGGGATCATTTTAATTCCTACAAGCCAAAGGGAGAAACTTTTCTAAGCAGTGGAGGACTTAATACAAACTCCACAAGGGTTATGTCTTTGTAGTATGGCTAAAATATCCACCTGGGGCCAGCATGATGGTGTGGCAAGCTACTCATCTGCATGTGATACTGCCATTCCATAGGAGTGCTGGTGAATGTTCCGGATGCTCCACTTCAATCCAACTCCTTTCTCATGACCCGTGAAATCAGTAGAGGGTGGCCCAAGTCCTTAGACCTTGCACCCATGTAGGAGACCCCAAGGAGCTCCTGGCTCCTGACTTTGGCCCAACACAGCTCTAGCTGTTGTGGCCCTTTAAGGAGTGAACCAGCAAATGGAAGATCTGTGTCACTCCTTCTTTCTGCAGCTCTGACTTTCAAATTTAAAAATCTTTTAAGAAAATGAATGCTTGCATCTCATTTAAAAAGGTAATATGCACCAGCCTTAACAAGCTTAAAAAACAAGCTCTGGGATCCGGCTCGATAGCCTAGTGATTAAAGTCCTCACCTTGAACGCACCAGGATCCTATATGGGCGCCGGTTCTAATCCTGGCTGTTCCACTTCCCATCCAGCTTCCTGCTTGTGGCCTGGGAAAGCAGTCGAGGCTGGCCCAAAGCCTTGGGACTCCACTGGGCCCATGTGGGAGACCCAGATGATGGTTCAGGCTTCTGGCTTCGGATCAGTGTGGCCACTTGGGGAGTGAACCAATGGACGGAAGATCTTCCTCTCTGTGTTCCTCTCTGTATATCTAACTTTGCAATAAAAATAAATAAATCTTAAAAAGAAAAAAAACAAGCTCCAAAGGTTTGAGACGAACCACGGATATCTTAATTTTCTGCACAGAGACACGGTGAATGAGAGAACAAGATACAGAGCTCACCTGTGGGCTTTTTCACTTTCCAAATGCCCACAATAGCCAGAGCTGGGACAGGCTGAAGCAGGAGCCAGGAGCTCCATCCAGGATCCCCATGTGGGTTGCAGTGACACAGTAATTGGCACAACATCTGCTACCTCATAGGTGTACAAATAGGAAACTAGTTCAGAAGCAAGGAATAGCCAGCCCTTGGACCAGACACTCTGATATGGGATGCACGCATTCAAACCTGCAGCTTCATCTACTATACCACAACCACCAGGGGCCATCTTCCAGGGACCTTAGTGGCCAAGTCTGGCAGGATGCAAATGAGAGAACATAAAGACGGGCCCAGTGCAATGCCTTGCCATGCAAGCACTGGGATCCCATATGGGCATGGGATTGTGTCCCAGCTGCTACACTTCCCATCCAGTTCCCTGCTTGGGAAAGCAGTGAAGGATGGGCAATGCCCTGGGTCCCTGCACCCATGTGGCAGACCTAGAAGAAGCTCCTGGCCTCAGATCAGCTCAGCTCCGGTCAGTGATGCCACTCGGGGAGTGGACTGAAGATCTTTCTGTCTGTCTCTCTGTACATCCACCTTGTCAATAAAAATAAACAAATCTTTTTTTAATTTATTCATTTTTATTGCCAAGTCAGATATACAGAGAGGAGGAGAGACAGACAGGAAGATCTTCTGTCACATGATTCACTCCCCAAATAACTGTAATGGCCATTGTTGAGCCAATCCAAAACCAAGAGCCTGGAGCCTCTTCCAGGTCTCCCATGCAGGTGCAGGATCCCAAGGCTTTGGGCCGTCCTCGACTGCTTTCCCAGGCCACAAGCAGGGAGCTGGATGGGAAGCGGGGCTGCCGGGATTAGAACTGATGCCCATATGGGATTCCAGCGTGTGCAAGGCAAGGACTTTAGCCACTAGGCCACTGTGCCGGGCCCAAATAAATAAATAAATCTTAAAAAAAATCAATACAAGGATACTTTAGTATGTGAATGGAAAAGTGTAAGTAAAAGATAAGCTTATTTTGTCCAAAAAGTCCCACATTTTAGAACCTATGCATAGGTTTCCCATTATTTACATTTTGACAAGCTCTTAGAAGACCCACTGTACTATCAGTTTTCTCAGAATTTACCCCTAGAAACTGACAAGATGACTCTAAAATTTTTACGAAAATGCAAAAAAAGAAAAAACTGGAATAGAACTTGGAGAATTATACTACCCAACTTTTAAGATTACCATGATCGGGCCTGGCGCAATGGCGCAGTGGTTAAGATCCTTGCCTTGCATGCCAGGGATCCCATATGGGCACCGGTTCTAATCCCCGTGGCCCCGCTTCAGAAGCTACTGGCTTCGGCTCGGCATAGCATCGGCCGTTGCGCTCACTTGGGGAGTGAATCATCGGACGGAAGATCTTCCTCTCTGTCTCTCCTCTCTGTATATCCGCCTTTAAATCTTTAAAAAAAAAAAAGGAAAAAGAAACTGCAATGAACTATATGCTTAAAAATGTGAAAACTCCAAAGAGATAAATTACTGGCTATGAGGCTCAAGTTAAGAAGATATAAGAAATCTAAAGAAACCCATAACAAGTGACGACACTGGAAGCAGTCATTTAAAACATCAACAAAGTCTAGGATCGATGGCTTTACAAATGCATTTGCAAAACATCTAAAGAAGAACTACTCAAAGTACTGAAAAATTTTGAAAAGGCTGGAATTCTGGCAAACTCTTTTTAGGAAGCCAGCATTACCTTGATACCAAAACCAAAGGAACAACACAAAAAGAAAACTACAGCAGAATTCTCAGCAGAAACATGACAACCACCTCATCAGAAAACTCATCCATTACAGTCAATGGTGCTAGGATGCCGTAACATTCACGAATCAATCAATGCAATCCATCACTAGAATAAAGAATGCAAATTATAAAATCATCTCAATGGATGCAGAAAAACATTTGTTAAGATTCAACATCTGCTCATAATTAAAAAAAAAAATTAGGTACCGAAGAAGCATGCCTCACAGTCACAAAGACCTTATATGACATACTCACAGCTAGGATCATGCTGATGGGGGGAAGAAAGCGTTTCCCTTTAGCTCTAGAACAAGAATATCACTTTCAGCACTCTTATTCAATCATAGTGCTGAAAGTAGTAGCAAAAACATCTAGAGAAAAGGAAGAATAGGCATCAAAATAGAAAAAAAAAATCAAAATAGCCATGTTCACAGAGGACGTTATGTCATTGAAGCAAAACTCTAAACACTTCCCCAGTAGGCTGTTAGAAATGACTAACCAACTCAGGAGAGTCACAGAGTACTGCGAAGAGTAACATTTTTATAGACCAATGGTAACTTTGTAAAGGGGGAATTTAAGAATGAAATTCAATTCACAATAGGTACAAAAAAAAAAGAAAGAAAACTCTGCAAATATTTAAGAATAAATGTTGCCAAAGAAGCAAAAAAATTAATGAAAATATCACATGCTAATGTGAGGACACACAAAAAAGTGCCAAGATATTTCTTGAATTAACATTGTTAGTAAAAATAAAAATCTTAAAACATTGTTAGAATGCCTGTACTACCTAAAGCAACCTACAGAGTTAAGGCAAATATATCAATATATCAAATATATCAATGTCAGACTTTGCAGAGTTAGGGGAAACAATCTTAAAATTTATATGCAACCACAAAGACAACAAGTTGCAAGCTTAACAAAATCTGACACTACAAAAGCTACAGCAATTAAAATGGCATACTGCTGGCACCAAGAAATGACATATATATCAATAAAGCAGAATATTGAGTCCAGAAATTAATCCGCCCTTCTTCTTCACTCCATCATCGTGATACGTGGCCTGGAGTCTTCCTCGCCATGTCTTCTCACAAGACCTTCAGAATCGAGAGATTCCTGGCCAAAAAACAAAAACAGAATCGTCCCATTCCCCAGTGGAGTCGAATGAAAACCGGCAAAAAGGTCAGGTGTAACTCCAAGAGGAGACACTGGAGAAGGACCAAGCTGGGTCTCTGAGGAACTGTGCTAAAACAGATGGAACACATATTTTGTGCTGTATCAACATCACTATCCACTGTATCAAGCTAAGGACAGCTGGACATGTTTGATTGAGACCCCTTAGTAGTGGGTTGGTTCAGTAATAAATATGTGAAACATTTTTAAAAAATTAATCCACTCAGTTTGTGCAGCAAACTGATCTTTGGCAAAGATACCAAGCATACATTGGAGAAAGTGTGGCAGGCAAAATTGGGACAAATATTTGTAAAAGATAATTAAAAGCATACTTCTCATCATATGCAAAGATCAATTCAGAAGGGGCCACAGACTATGAAACTGCTAGAAGAAACAATAGGATACATATTTCACGACCTTGATTTTGGCAGTGGTATCTTGGCTAGGCTCCCAGAAGTGCAAGCAACAAGCAACAAAAGCCAATCAGTATACCTGGGATTCTATCAATTTCAGACACTTCCGTACACAGAGCAAACAAGTGAATGCCACCTGACGAAAATGAAAGGATTAATACCCAGCACATATCAGGAACTCAAAAAAAAAAAAATCAGCAAAGAAAACAGCCAATCCAGTTAAGAAATGGGGTAAGAACCTGATAGGTCCCAAAAAAAGAAATGCAGAGGCTGGAGTCATGGCATTGCTGGTGAAGCCTCTGCCTGCAGTGCCAACATCCCATATGGACAATGTTTCAAGTACTGTGCTCCACTTGCAGCTGCCTGCTAATCCCCTAGGAAGGCAGCGGATGATGACCCGCATCTATGGACCTCTGTACCCATGTGGGAGACAAAAGGAAGCTCCTGCTTCCTGGCTTTGGATTGACCCAGCTCCGGCCATTGTGGCCATTTAGGGAGTGAACCAGCACATGGAAGATCTTTCTGACTCTGCTTCTCTCCCTGTAATTGTACCTCTCAAATGAAAATAAATCTTTTTGAAAAATTGTAAAAGGCAATGCAAATGGACAACACACAAATGGAAAAAATGCTCAATGTCACTAGCTATTAGAGTAATGCAAAGCAAACTACAATGAGGTGGTGCAATGAGGCGAGGTATCATCTCACCCATGGTAGCATGGTTATTATCAAAAAGAATAACTAATGGTAAGGATGTGGAAAGGTGGCCACTCTTATACACTGTTGGTAAGAACGCAAATACAGTCACAGTGGAAAATAGCCTGGAGATTTCTTTAAGAAATAGGAAAGTAGGAGCAGAACTATTGCTGTGGTGTAGGTTAGTCAGGTTCTTGCCTTTTACTTAAAAAAAGTTCAAGCACAGGCACTAACAGGGCATAAACAAGCGGCAAAGTTTATTCAGAGGATGAGAAACAGAAATTAACCCTGTAACACAAAGGAACCCTGACACATTGAGTCCTAAGGGAAAAGAAGTTGCTACCTTTTCCTGAGCTGCCAGCAGAATGGGAGGAGGGAGGAGGGGAGATGTTGAGGGAGAGAACAGCCCAAAGGTCCAAGCTACATCCAAGCGGCCTCTTTGCACCGGCTTTTGCAGGTAGAGCTTGAGAGGGGAGTAAGCAATCATAGTGCAGCCCCACTCCTGACCCAAGTCCCAGGTAATGATCGGTATGCATGGGTGGAAAATATCACTCAGGCAGGGGAAGTATGGCTTCCAGACTTGTGATCCTAAAACTTCAGGCCTAGATTATATCATTACCAAATGATCCAGCAATCTCACTACTGAGCATACATCCAAAAAAAAAAAATATGGATTTATTGAATTAAGGAAATGCCTGTTCCACCATGTTTGTAGTAGCTCTGTTCCCAATAGGCAAAACATGGAATCAATCAAGGTGTCCATCAGGAGATTAATAAAGAAAATGTGGTGGGGGGCCAGTGTAGTACAGCACACCAAACCTCCACCTTCAGCCCCAGTTTTCCATATGAACACCAGTTTGAGTCTTGGATGTTCCACTTCCGATCCAGCTCCCTGCTTACATCCTGGGAAAATAGAAGTGGCCATCTCAAGTCCTTGGGTCCCTGCACCCATGTGGGAGTCCCAGAAAAAAATAAGAAATTCTTGCCTAAAAAAGAAAATGTGATACACACACACATATATAACAAAGTACTATTCAGTCATTTTAAAAAAAATAAAATCCGTATCATTGCCGCAAAATGGACATAACTGGAGAACATGATGTTGGGTGAAATAACCTGGTTACACAATGACAAATACGTATTATCCCCTCATATGGGAGGGAACAAAAAGAAAAACTCAAGCTGAACACGGAGTATTGATTACTGGAGTCTGTGACAGCAGAGAGGGATGGAAGCTTAGATTTTAAAGATTTATTTATTTTTTATTGCTGAGTCAGATATACAGAGAGGAGGAGAGACAGACAGGAAGATCTTCTGTCCAATGATTCACTCCCCAAGTGGCTGACTGCAATAGCCAGTGCTGAGCCAATCCGAAACCAGGAGCCTGGAGCCACTTCCAGGTCTCCCATGCAGGTGCAAGATCCCAAGGCTTTGGGCCATCCTAGACTGCTTTCCCAGGCCACAAGCAGGGAGCTGGATGGGAAGTGGAGCTGCCAGGATTAGAACCGGTACCCATATAGGATCCTGGGCATGTTCAAAGTGTGGACTTTAGCCGCTAGGCCATCGCACCGAGCCCAGAAGTTTAGATTTTAAAAAGAATTAAGGCAAGCCAGTAAGCTGGACATGGCTTATTAATTGTGACAAATGTATCTTATTCATGTAAAGCTATAATAGAGAAGCTGAGTGTGGGTATATGAGAGCTCTTTGTACTGCATCACCATATTTTTATTTCTCAAATTTAAAATGTTCTGGAATAAGAAAGACTTGTAAAAAGAAAAAACACAGACAGATTCAGAGAGAGGCTACCTGGGTTTTAGTCCCAGCACAAATGACTCTGATGGAGCCACACTCCTCATCTATAAAAGACAGTTACACAGTCACTGTCCGGTGAGCTCAACTGAAAGTTCTGGAACAACCGTTAAGGTCAGTTGGTGGGCTTAGCCCTGCCCACATAGCCAGGGAAATCAGGCCCAACATCCTTCCAGCAGAGTGAGAACCACAGGGGAGAAAGCTCCAAGAAAGTCCTCGGTACTGTTGGCTCTTCTCAAGTTGGGAAGAGCTGGGAGACAGGGAGCAAGGGAAAAAGGGAAGCCCCTTAAAGCTGAGGGAATCTGGCCCTAGTAGGAGGCTCACTCATGTGGGAGCATCTGAACTGTTGTCTGGCCTGGGAGGAGCCAGGAAGGAGGAGAGAGGCTCCGCCAGCGGGTCTCGCCACAAAGCCGTCCACATGTTGGAGAAAGTGACCAGTCATCTTCATACTGCCTTACAGTGCGTGTAAATATATCATGAGACAAAAGGTCCAGAGCTTATTAGCACAAATTACTAGAGGGAAAGCACAGGGAGTGAGGCGGGAGCCAAAGGGTGTGATGCTCCAGCGGTTGCAGAAAACTGCCTAGACACAGGTTCGGAGCAGCCAGGCTGGCCAGCAGAGCAGGGAAGGCAGCGGCTTGTGCAGGTGGGCGGGTGGGCATGAAAGGGGGTTCTGCTTGCTGGAAGGAAGCCCAGGGTCCAGCATTTTTTAAGAGATAGAGATTTTTTTTTTATATGGCTCTTGAACAAGGCAATAGGCCATAAAGAGAACTTTTGCCCAGAAATAATGGTGAGAGCTGCCAAAATTAGGAAATCAAGGAAAAAGTAATGCTTAAAAGGAAGAACAGGGGTGACCTGAGGCCAATCCAGTTGAACTTCAGGACCACACACTCAACAGGGGCTTTCCCATGATGTATTCTCTTTTTCTCTGTCCGTCTTGGGAACCAGATCCATAGATTCAAGCCTTCAAACTTCCCTGGGTATCACTGAGTTCACAAACTCAATTCACAGGCACAGACAGGGGAATTGGAAAACCAAATCAAAAACAGTTAATGCCTCTTCTTAGAAGGACTTGCATGTGCAAAATGTCCACAGTGGAGATAGTCTGATGTCTTTCTACCCCACAAGTTGCTGGGGAAGCCAAGGGGTGGGTAGGGTGCCCCCCTCCGGGTGGGGGTGGGGAGGGTTGCAGCTTGACACCCTATCCCAACCCCCATTAACTGCCATTGATGAGATCGGGGGCCGCTCTCCCCTAAGCCAGCACACTTGAGTATATTCTCTGGTCTGAGGATGCCGCAGGTAAAATACTAAGCCCCAGAATCATTTCTTCAATCTCCCACAGCATTTTGTAGTTGTTTTAGGGTACCCATGCTCCCCATAGTCCTTCTGCAGTTATTTGTATTGCCACGCACAGAGCTTTCTGAGGCTCTGCATGGTGGGGTTCCTGAGTCCTGAATAAACACACTTTCATTGTCTACCAGGGGTTGGAATTGCAAAGAATACAAAAGGCAAAGAAACCACAGATGAGTTCTGAGCAAGCTTCCAGTCCTCTTATAACAAGACAGGTATAGGAGGGAGAACCCAGACCCTGCAGACTCACAACTGTGAGTTAGAGATGAACCAGGAGCAAGGGGTGCAGGGCAGGCTGGTGGGCGACTGTCAGGTGGGGTTGAGGTTCATAACCTTTAGAGGTCATCTTTAGGAAAACTATAAAATTACGTATATGAAATAAGGCCTAAAGCTTGGGTGTGGAAAATTCGAGAATGGCCTGGGGTCTTGGTAAGTAGCTGCCAAAAGGTGTCAAGAGAAATGGGATTTAACCCTGGTGAAGCCTTGACAGGGAAAGCAGGATTTGGTCTTCCACTTAGAGGGTGATTGTGGCAAGATAACCAAAAGAAACTCAGAGAAATACAAATGAGTCCAGTTAGACACCTGCCGCAGGATGGACAGAAAGGGGCAGGGGTGTAGGGATTGCAAGGGAGGCGGTGCTCGGCAGGCAATCACCTGGAGTCAGATAGGAGAGGCCTTAGGCGCAGGTCAGGGTGTCCATGTCACATTTCACCAGGTACTGGCACCACGGACCTTTTTCAATGTCGTTCAGTAACCAGAACCACAAAAGCAACAGCCAAAGCAATTTTAGGAAGATTGGTCTTGTCTCATTGGACAAGGCAAAGAAAGCGAGATGGTGTAAGAAAGTTCAGGTTGGGATGAGGAAAGGCATGAAATGAACATTAGCCATCAACAAAACCCGGGCCATAGCTTATGCCAAGGAAAAGGATAAATGATGAGTCGGATGGAT